GGGGGCTGCAGCGGGGGCGTTGGGGACACGAGGACCTCGTTGGGGACACGAGGACCTCGTGGAAGGTCCTCCGTGGGCTTGTGGAGAAGGAACCCTCGTTAGGACTAATTAATCTTCTAATGAGGGGAGCTCGGGAGGAGCTCTCCCTTCGAGGTGGCAGCGCTGTTTTGGGGACTGTCCCCAGATGTCCCCAGATGTCCCCAGATGTCCCCAGATGATGGAGTCCTGAAGGGACCTCAGCCCCGTGGGGACAAGTCCTCTTGTCCCTTAGGGTGCCAAGTTCATGAGAAGCCTCATGGGAGACCTCAGGGGGAGGCAGGGGGACACCTCGGGGACACCAAGGGGTGACAGCGTGCCCACCGGTGGCCATCACCCTCAATGGCGTCTTGCTCCATGCCAGGGATGGGTGCCCACCACCGTTGGTGGCATCTGACCCTGGAGATGGGGACAGGCGCCCGTCCCCATGGGTGACATCTGCGCCTACGATGGGTGTCTGTCCCCGTTGGTGGCATCTGACCTTGGAGATGGGGACAGGACCTTGTCCCCATGGGTGACATCTGCGCCTACGATGGGTGTCTGTCCCCGTTGGTGGCATCTGACCTTGGAGATGGGGACAGGACCTTGTCCCCATGGGTGACATCTGCGCCTACGATGGGTGTCTGTCCCCGTTGGTGGCATCTGACCTTGGAGATGGGGACAGGACCTTGTCCCCATGGGTGACATCTGCGCCTACGATGGGTGTCTGTCCCCGTTGGTGGCATCTGACCTTGGAGATGGGGACAGGACCTTGTCCCCATGGGTGACATCTGCGCCTACGATGGGTGTCTGTCCCCGTTGGTGGCATCTGACCTTGGAGATGGGGACAGGACCTTGTCCCCATGGGTGACATCTGCGCCTACGATGGGTGTCTGTCCCCGTTGGTGGCATCTGACCTTGGAGATGGGGACAGGACCTTGTCCCCATGGGTGACATCTGCGCCTACGATGGGTGTCTGTCCCCGTTGGTGGCATCTGACCTTGGAGATGGGGACAGGACCTTGTCCCCATGGGTGACATCTGCGCCTACGATGGGTGTCTGTCCCCGTTGGTGGCATCTGACCTTGGAGATGGGGACAGGACCTTGTCCCCATGGGTGACATCTGCGCCTACGATGGGTGTCTGTCCCCGTTGGTGGCATCTGACCTTGGAGATGGGGACAGGACCTTGTCCCCATGGGTGACATCTGCGCCTACGATGGGTGTCTGTCCCCGTTGGTGGCATCTGACCTTGGAGATGGGGACAGGACCTTGTCCCCATGGGTGACATCTGCGCCTACGATGGGTGTCTGTCCCCGTTGGTGGCATCTGACCTTGGAGATGGGGACAGGACCTTGTCCCCATGGGTGACATCTGCGCCTACGATGGGTGTCTGTCCCCGTTGGTGGCATCTGACCTTGGAGATGGGGACAGGACCTTGTCCCCATGGGTGACATCTGCGCCTACGATGGGTGTCTGTCCCCGTTGGTGGCATCTGACCTTGGAGATGGGGACAGGACCTTGTCCCCATGGGTGACATCTGCGCCTACGATGGGTGTCTGTCCCCGTTGGTGGCATCTGACCTTGGAGATGGGGACAGGACCTTGTCCCCATGGGTGACATCTGCGCCTACGATGGGTGTCTGTCCCCGTTGGTGGCATCTGACCTTGGAGATGGGGACAGGACCTTGTCCCCATGGGTGACATCTGCGCCTACGATGGGTGTCTGTCCCCGTTGGTGGCATCTGACCTTGGAGATGGGGACAGGACCTTGTCCCCATGGGTGACATCTGCGCCTACGATGGGTGTCTGTCCCCGTTGGTGGCATCTGACCTTGGAGATGGGGACAGGACCTTGTCCCCATGGGTGACATCTGCGCCTACGATGGGTGTCTGTCCCCGTTGGTGGCATCTGACCTTGGAGATGGGGACAGGACCTTGTCCCCATGGGTGACATCTGCGCCTACGATGGGTGTCTGTCCCCGTTGGTGGCATCTGACCTTGGAGATGGGGACAGGACCTTGTCCCCATGGGTGACATCTGCGCCTACGATGGGTGTCTGTCCCCGTTGGTGGCATCTGACCTTGGAGATGGGGACAGGACCTTGTCCCCATGGGTGACATCTGCGCCTACGATGGGTGTCTGTCCCCGTTGGTGGCATCTGACCTTGGAGATGGGGACAGGACCTTGTCCCCATGGGTGACATCTGCGCCTACGATGGGTGTCTGTCCCCGTTGGTGGCATCTGACCTTGGAGATGGGGACAGGACCTTGTCCCCATGGGTGACATCTGCGCCTACGATGGGTGTCTGTCCCCGTTGGTGGCATCTGACCCTGGAGATGGGGACAGGCGCCCGTCCCCATGGGTGACATCCCTCTGAGCTCCATGCCAGGCCCCACCCCTGTCCCTTGTCCCCCTCCGCGTCCCAGGGTCCCCAAGCTGAACCCGTTGCCCCGGTGCCACCTCGAGGTGCCCAAACCGGCCACCCCAGTTCTCGGCAGGACCTGGCGGGGGCTGAAGGAAGGAGGTGACAAACGAGGTGACGATGACAACGCAGCCGGGACGGGGACACGGAGGGGAGGAGGTGCCCTCGGTGCGACCGATACCCAGAGGGCCGTGGGGCAGGAGGTGACACGGGGCCATTGGGTGGCCTTGGTGGGAACCAAGGGTGACCAAGGTCTCCTCAAGGGTGGTTTGATGAACTGGGAAGCACTGGGAGGCACTGAGGACAGGAAGGGCACTGGGAAGCACTGGGAAGGGCACTGGGACATACTGGGAAGCACAGGAAGGCTTGGATAGGTGTGGGGATGAATTGGGAGGCACTGGGAAGGGCACTGGGACATACTGGGAAGCACAGGAAGGCTCAGATAGGTGTGGGGATGAACTGGGAAGCACTGGGAGGCACTGAGGACAGGAAGGGCACTGGGAAGCACTGGGAAGGGCACTGGGACATACTGGGAAGCACAGGAAGGCTTGGATAGGTGTGGGGATGAATTGGGAGGCACTGGGAAGGGCACTGGGACATACTGGGAAGCACAGGAAGGCTCAGATAGGTGTGGGGATGAACTGGGAAGCACTGG